CCACTGGCAAAAAGAGATGAAAACCGACCCGCTCAAGTACCAACTGTGTGTTTGAAACAGTTCTACCGATTTTTTACCGCACTTCAGTTGTTATTTGAAGGAAGGCATCCAGTCATAGGTTTGGAAATTGCAACTATTGTTTACCCCTACCCCTAAAAAAAAAAAAAAAAAAAAAGACTCATGATGTTCTGCTCAGTAAGCAAAAACGGTTGCTCAAAGGCCACCGAGGCCCTCATATTACATTGTACCGTTACTCAAGTTGTTATAACTATTCGAACCCGGCACCTACGACAACGAAACGTTTTACAAAATACACGATAAACAAGCAATCTTACCGTACATTTTTTATATGAAAGGACATGGGACCGCGTGTTTCTGCTCAGTAAGCAAGCCACTTCAACCGACGCTCTTTCAAATCCGAAAACTAAAAGCTACGAAAGAGTACTTAGGCCTTCATTAAGTGCCAATTCCACGCGATGTTCAATGTTTCGATTTGCTCTTTACGCATTGTTCCGACCGACGTCGAACTACTTCGGCCTAAGTGCCCATTTTGGGCCTATCAAGCAGAAAACATCAAATAACTCCATGATTTCGGCGTTAACAGGTAGATTATGCGTTTGGTACGATACTTTAGTTCAAATGCTACTGAACGAAGTCAATAAGAAATGGTGATATGAATGTTTGCACCCAATATTCCCAAATACAAATGAAGCGCTTTGACCGAGTCAATATTTATCTTCATCCGATAGGCCGAAGTGAATTTATTGGCGTTTCAATGCGTTAGGCCAAGTTTATAATTCGTAGGCCGAGTTTGGCGTCAAGAAGCAGTGTTAGACTTTTGACAATATATCAACGATTGGTTAATCTTTTTCAAATCTTACAGTACGTACGGGAAGGTAAATAAATTGGGAAGCCATCAGTAATAATAACATTCCGTTACGGCGAAGACGACGGCGAAGACGACGGCGAAGACGACGGCGAAGACGACGGCGAAGACGACGGCGAAGACGACGGCGAAGACGACGGCGAAGACGACGGCGAAGACGACGGCGAAGACGACGGCGAAGACGACGGCGAAGACGACGGCGAAGACGACGGCGAAGACGACGGCGAAGACGACGGCGAAGACGACGGCGAAGACGACGGCGAAGACGACGGCGAAGACGACGGCGAAGACGACGGCGAAGACCACGGCCATTTGTGTAGGATATAACACTTTCGCCCGATAAAAAATCTCCTGTTCTTTATTTTTTGTTAGAACAATGCGTCATCTGGATAATGCAAATCAAGCTGAACATTGCATTATGTCCTAAGTAACATTGACAGATTCTCTTTGTATTCTCACGGTCATGTTGAGTCATGTTGTGCTGCCAGGTATCATCAACACGTTCCCGGGCTAATTCACCAACCGGACCGATCTCTCAATAGAACTACACATCAAAAGTGAAGCATCCGAACTCGGAGAACTGGGCTCCCGGGAGGCAATGAAAACCGACACCGAACAATAGAACTGAAGCTGCGTCGTAAATTTTGGAGGTTAAATTCAAGGTCAACCGAGTCACTCAAGGCAAACACAGGCAAAACACGATATATCACTAAATGATAACTTTATGAACACTTATATCAAAATTTCAGCACACAAATTAACAAATTTAAGCAAACAATTTAAATTAATTCGCTGACAAAAAAACACGTCAGCTTTCAAGCGCGGCCTATCTTTCCATCGAAATTTATGTATGGACCCAATATTAGAGACACACAGGCTGACATTAAGGACATTTAACCTTCCTACTTATATCCAGATTCTGTAGGTTGTAAACTTCGAAAAATGTCTTAGTCCATGAGCTCGTCCGTGTTTATCCTGGATGTTATTGTTATTCAAGTTCAATTATTCTAGAAAAATAATCCAAGTTCATTCTTCACATGTTCCCTATGTTCCTTATGACCAGCGTTGCCAGAATTCCAGATTAATCTGGATTTTCCAGATTTTCAGTCGTCTTGCCAGATACACAGACAGACCACGTATATTTCCAGATTTTTAAAATATGTTCCAGATTTTTCCAGATTTTTTAAACAAATTGCTTTAAAAATTGATTAACCCTCTAATAAAAAAAAGTTAAACTAGCTACTTTAATTATTAAAGGCCATCAATGTTGGAAATTATTGCAACATCGCACATGGAATTGTTACAACATGTTTGCATGTTAATGGGTTGCAGAATCATGAAAATTGTAACATTTTCTAAAGATTATAGGCTGAAAAAGCCCTTCATTTTGTTTTTTAAATATCGGGCCTGGATTCTTTTTATTTCGAATTTAAGTTTTAATTTTGGCTTTAATTTATATTTAAGAATCCTGGATTGGAAAATCAAAAGTTCAATATGCGGGAATTTTCATAATTTTGCAATGTAGAGAAATCGAAAACTGTTCGGGATTGAAAACAATACATTGAGCTTTGAAAAATTAGCAAGGCTTTTGAATCTATTTTGAAGTATGTTCTTGAGATTTTTGAGGATTTAATTTAAGAATTTAAAAGGCATTTTTTAAAGTATCTGTTAATATTGAGTTAGCAGTCTGAATTACTTTAGAATTCCGAATAGCCCTAGAATTTAATTATTTTAACTATAGCGTGAAGTGACTTCCTTGTGAAAGAGGATTTCAAGTTTATTCTGAGTAGAGTTCCATAACTCTGATGACAATTTTGTGAAGAAATTAAATATAATTCGGAAGAGAAATCATAGAAAATTCTTAAAATGATACTTAGAGAACGTTGATGGCAAATTCAAGGAATTGCTGGGAGCATTAGTAAGGAAATCTGGAAGGAATACAATGAGTATGCTGATGCAAATCGTGAAAATAATTTCAATGGAATTCTGTCCAAGGTTTCTAGGGAGATTCATTTTAATTAAATATTAAGAAAGAGTGTGACGGTCATTCTGAGGAGTGAAATTTTTAACAAAATTCAAAGCGAATTTCATCGAGAAAATTGAGACAAAATAATGCGAATTGTTGGGAATTATTACCAGTTTGAGGGAACTATGGAATTGTAGAATGATATCTAAGAAATTACAAGAGATAATGCGAACCAAGAGAGTTTTTCTGAGAACCCCTAGAATGCTGCTGAAAAAGTTTGGAGATTATCAAGATTATTTTAGGGGAATCCAGAAAAGAAGTATGGTGGTATTCTAGAATGATTCAAAGGGAACTCTGAAAAAATGTCGAATATATCCAGTGAAAAGTTCCAATTAAATTAAGACTAGCAAAAAAAAATATGATCTTAGACCCAGAAAAAATATAAATTCCAGAATTTAGAATCATTTCTAGATCCTGAGACGACACTTTCAGACTTTCACTTGAGTTATATAGTAAAATTATTCTTTGGCATAAAATTATTCGTAATGTTCATGCGAATAGTGGAGTTACCCGAATTTAGGTAAAATGTGTGTGAGTACCACGATGTGAGGCTTTGGTTCTCACTTCAGCCAGGTGATTTTTTCATAAAATTAAAATTGCCTACTGGTCTATTAGGTGTTGTGTGTTGTATGTTGTCAAGAATTAAATTGTAAGTCTGATCAACCTCAGGGTAATATTAGAATAGTTTAGAACTAATAAAATCTTTCAGACATATTCTTGTACTGCATCAAATAGTAAGGGCTACATAGTCTATTATTGAAAAAAAAAAATCATCTCATCAAAGTTGCTTGATTCTTTGCTTCTCATACTTTTTAAACAACATGTAATTCATTAACATTCTGGTACTTTCAATACATTCCAGATGATTATACCGACCGATTTTTCCGGAAGATTGGCACATAAATTTGATTCCAATAGCACTATGTTAAAAACAGGACTTTTAAGAACATTCCAGATTTTTCCAGATTTTATATTTTAACTGGACATTTTTTCTGAAAATGACCTGGCAACGCTGCTTACGACGAAGCAGTTGACACCCAACTGAAACATCTAAAAAATCTCTCCCTTTCATAGGCAAAGCGATTGAAAGCGGAATTCTTAACCTCAGTCATGTGAATATCAAATCGTTCATCCACTTTCCCACCACAATCGCAACCGTATACGCGCTCTTCAAATCACAAACCCCATATTTCACGGAAAATCACAATCAACTCACTTGCCTTTTCTGCGCCACTCTCTTCCAATCATTCAACGAGCAAAAGTTTGCTTTATTGACAGAAATCTTCGCAAACGACTTTCACTTTGGTGCCGCACTTCTGTAAGCACTCCCGATGGTTTGGTCCATTTCGTTGCTTTGCCGTGTAACTGACAAGTGACAGTGATTGAGTCAAATGTTTGTGACACAATTTTCGTTTTTCTTCGCCACTTTTCCGGGCAGACTGTTGATCGTCAGCACTTTTTTCCGCATGCCATCAATATGCGAAAGAAGTGATGGGATGTTATTTTTCCCGCCACCCAACCAACGATATCTCTCCCCTTTGGCTTTGGGAGTTGCCAAAGCTTGATTGCGTTGAATATTTTATTAGCAAAGCAATCAAAAATTGATACTCCCCGGCGAGAATGTGGATGCTGGGGCAGGGGAGCGAGTTTTTCTTTATTATCTCTGGCGGATTTACCCCTGCGCGGGATGCGTTCATATTTCACGCTTCGATTTTGCCAACATTCTGGTGGAGGGGGGAGATGATGCAAAACAGCAACCGGAGGGAGAAACGATGGTGGATGTGGTGAGATGTTGTTATTCCAGTCTAGCAGCTACCGTGTCGGCTAATCAAACAGAAGCTGCCAAGATGCAGTCTGCTGGGGAAAGTGTTTGATGTTTTATTATCGAGTGGAAATTGAGTTATGATCAAGATGGGGATTTGGGGGAGGTTTGATGGTACGTGTAGCTCCGATTCAATGGTTTCGGATCAAGTTCTACCACGAATAAATGTATCATCAAAGTCAGAGTATCGGATTTTTTTTTTTTTTATATATTCAATGGGATTAACATTTTTAAGTGACTAATTTAAGCAATCACTTTCATTCCAGGTCCTTCTGTATCCTGAGGAAGGATGGGCCCGTAGTGCAGCGTCCAGCTATTGGACAATTTCTCCGTGTCGCTGGCGAAGGAATCGCTGCATCGTGGAGGAGGTGGCCGGATCGAGAAAGTGAGTACCAAATTCCAATTTCCATGCAAAATATATTCGTTCACGTGACAAACTGAAAATGTGGCCAGAAATGGCAGCCCAACACTCACGTAAACACACCCAATTCACAAACGCAATTTAGTCAAACAAAACTCATCGGGAATAACTTCTTTCCGGGCGGACGTGATTTCGGCACTTCTTTCGGAAAAGCATAACAAGCATCAACTTTATCGTGTGGACGTCACACTTCATTGCCATTCCGGGTGGGTGAATTCATAAATTTCGGAAAGTCTTAGGTCCTGGCTGCTGCCTGTCAGTTACGTGACGAAGACATTCCCGAGGGTGAGTGTGGATGGTGGTCGGAAGGGCATCGACGAGTCGAGACTTTGGGCAAACAGAAATCAACGTTTATTGTTCTTGGGAAAACAGATCTTCCTTTGCTGCCCCGGGGGCGATATTTTCCCTCACTCAGCATTAATATGCGTGTAGGTGGGCGAGGAATAATTCAGCGAAAGTTGATTTGAATAAACATGCTTCAGTGGTGGAGCCACCTGGCACTACCACGAACCGACCGAACAGAGAAAAAAAAGTTTGCCAGCTGCAATCAAACGAAATTTATTCCACCTAGAGGGATTCAATTTACGACTTTCAAATCAGAGGATCGAATTGACATCGAACGCTGTGGGTGAGGGCGAGGAAGTGAGAAAAAGCAATTTCCATAAAAACGATTCCCAACGCACACAAATTACATAACATCAATTTGTATCGAAAGATATTTATTTTCGCTGCGGAGTTGGTAGGTAGGTACGTTTCAAGATGCAGAGGATCTTGTTAAATTTTCAATCATTTCCTGCAGGGCAGCCATGGTTCAGAAGACGACATTTGAATGATGAATGGAAATTTGTGTAAACTGAATTTAAAAATTGAAGGGAATGCTAGAAAGCGAGCACACTGGTCTACGCAGTGGTCCAGAGATAGTTATAGCTAACTTTACGAGAAACGGTCAAATGACAAATAGCTAGAATTTGCATATTTTTCCTTCCCTGCTCCTCCTGGGCACACAACACCAACGGAGGGACCCACACAATCAAATTGCTACATCTTGGGTGTACCAGATGGAAACGATTGGATGAATTGTTGCGGTCGGAGTCCTCTCATTTGCCTACACAGTTGTTGTTGAGGTCGAAATCAGGGCAGATTCGATACCTTCTCGATATACTCTCTACCGAACCGAACATCGATTGATTAAGTGAGGTTTACCTGAACCTTATGACCTACAACGACGACGACAACAACAACAATAATAACAAAACGGATGAGAATCGATAGTGATTTTGCAAGAAACTGAAATTTTACCCATGTACAACGTTACTAGGTCAGTATCATAGAAATCTGGTACAGTTGAAATATAAAATCTGGAAAATCTGAAATTCTATAGTCATTTTTTTTTACTATTAGAATTGAATTGGGAGAAAAAGCTATACTAACATCAACATAAAGCTTTAGTGCAATAATGTATATGCTAGAAAAAGTTCTTTTTTTTTTTCCTTTGGTTTGTTTTTTCCGTCGATCTTGTTTTCCGTGCTGAGCACCAATGCTACCGACGTGCCAGGAAGGCAGCTCCCACACCTTTACCCTACCTATCGACCCATCAACTCAAGAACCGGGGACCAACGGCTTTACTTCCCATCCGAAGGAAGGCGTGATCAGAGATGTTATGCCTCAGAACATCCCGGCGGCGCCGACTGGGATTGAACCCAGGCCTGCTGGGGTGAGAGGTAATCACGCTTACCACTACACCACCGGCACCGATAGAAAGAAAAAGTTCTGGCGAGGATAGATTGATAGTTCCGTTAGAGTACGACAATGTGAAAATTGAATGAACGAAGGGCCATTGATGCGACAATACTAATGAAATACGCACTCCTTTGCCTAGCTACTTGATGGATAAAGGGATTTGAGAGTATTTTCTCAAGAGTGCGCTTTTGACTTTCTCATATACTGTCTGTACTGTAACAAACAGCACATAACATATGTGGAACTCGATCATCAAAAATTTACCCCATTTCAGTGCTTTCAAGTGGTATAGAAAGACATCGATCAGTCAAATTGATTATACCAGCTGTAAAATTAGCAAGGGAATCAAGGGGGTAGTCAATTCTATTAAAATAATAATAACCTCAGATTTGGTTGGAAATGCTAACATGAAGCTTTAGTGTGATAATTTATTAGCTAGAGAATGATCTTTAGAAGAGAGTAGGTGGATAGTTCCGTTAGAGTACGGCAGTATGAAAATTGAATAGAAGTTGAAAATGAGCGAAGGGCCATTAATGCGACAGTTTTTAAAGATAGACGCACATCTTTTGCCTAACTCGTACGATGTACGCGGAGACTTGAAGTATGTCTTCAAGTCTACAGGCAAAAAATGTGCGTCCCTCTTTTGCTCATAAACTGACTGCGGCTGTGGAATAGTTCTAGCGACGTTTTCATCACTACCTAAAGCCCCACGTTGCGAGAGCATTTCCAGTCGATGGTGTGTTATAATGCAATTCTTCTTTACCCAACTATTGTGTTGCTCCTCTCATCATGACCAACGTGATCATCTCAGAGAGAAAGCAGTAGGGTGGTTGTTTGCGTGCTGTACCATCATCAGCATTGTTGACGGCTACTCCCGTCTTGAGTTGTTACATTCAAAGTGTTTTTATGTTACTTCATACGCGAAGTTAGCGATTTTCAGATTTTCGCAACGTGGGGCTTTAGGTAGTGATGAAAACGTCGCTAGAACTATTCCACAGCCGCTGTCAGTTTATGAGCAAAAGAGGGACGCACATTTTTGCCTGTAGACTTGGAGACATACTTCAAGTCTCCGCGTACATCGTACGAGTTAGGCAAAAATGTGCGTCTATCTTTAAAAACTGTCGCATTAATGGCCCTTCGCTCATTTTCAACTTCTATTCAATATTTATACTGCCGTACTCTAACGGAACTATCCACCTACTCTCTTCTAAAGATCATTCTCTAGCTAATAAATTATCACACTAAAGCTTCATGTTAGCATTTCCAACCAACTCTGAAAATCGCTAACTTCGCGTATTAAGTAACATAAAAACAAGTTGTATTCAATTTATCATTGTATGAAGGGCCAAAAGTGGAGGGTGGACTCGTAAGCAAAGGCACTTAAGCGTGATCCTTCCAATTATAAAAATGTTCCAACCCGATACAGACCAAGCCATCATACGAGAGGATATACTAATGAGTGAGGAGAAGAGCCCACCTTCAATTCACGAAATGTTAACAACAGGGAGTTGGCAATTCCACTCTTCCCTCTAACATGAGATAACTCTTATACGCTTTTAACCACTTCATTTCCCCCAAGCGTTGAAAGCGTTGAAGCGTTGAAAGCGTTAATATTTGAAATAATATTTGAAGAAGTTCCATTAAAAAGAAGAAAACGTCAAAGTAACTCAAAACATCCTGTTTGGTATAACAGTCGAATTATAAACTTAAAAAATCGAAAGCAAAAGGCACATAAGGCTTATAAAAAGCAAGGCACCAATGAAAATTTGGCAAACTATTTGCGTATTTGCGATGAATTAAATGTGACAATTGATATTGCATACTCCTCAATACAATTCAAGAATCGAACTCGAAATAAAATCTAGTCCAAAAAAATTCTTCAATTACGTTAAAACTAAATTGAAATCAGACAATTTTCCATCAAAAATGCATTTGAATGAAACGGTTGGTGACAACGCAGCCGATATCTGCAATCTATTTGCTACTTCCTTCCAAGAAATTTACACCTCTTTTTCAGAAGATGATCGTGATTGCGATTATTTTAAATTCATCCCAGAATGTATTAGTGATATACAAGTTAATCAAGTTAATGTGCAGGATATTATGGCAACTTTGAACAATTTGGATGCTTCCAAAGGCTCTGGACCAGACGGAATTCCGCCAGTATTTATGAAGAGCCTGGCACTGGAACTTACAGCTCCATTATTCTGGCTTTTCAATAAGTCACTAGATTTTAGAATCTTCCCAAAAACATGGAAAAGCTCTTTTGTAGTGCCTATTTTCAAAAGTGGCAAAAAATCTGACATACAAAATTACCGAGGAATTGCTATTATTTCCTGTATCCCAAAGCTTTTCGAAGCGATCGTCAATGAAAAACTATTCAATCAGATCAAAAACAGAATCACTAACATGCAACATGGTTTCTTCAAAGGACGATCAACTAATACAAATTTACTTGAATTCGTCAACTATTCTTTGGTTGCAATGGATAATGGAAACCATGTAGAAGCACTCTATACCGGTTTTAGCAAAGCATTTGATCGTATTGATATACCCATGCTTCTTTTCAAATTATAAAAAATAGGAATTGAACCTGGACTTCTCAAATGGCTTGAGTCATATTTAACTAATCGCCAACAAATAGTTAGATTCAAAGGTGAAAAATCAAACCCTATTACTGTTACTTCTGGAGTCCCCAAGACTCGCATCTAGGCCCTCTTTTGTTTATTTTATTTTTAAACGACATCTCCTTTATTCTTAAAAACATAAAAGTTTTAATCTATGCGGATGACATGAAGCTCTTTCTAGAAATAAGAAACAAAGAAGATATACAGACACACCAGATTGAAATAAACTTATTCTATGTTTAGTGTAACAAAAGCCTCCTGCAACTAAACGTTCAAAAATGTAAATCAATAGCTATTAGTAGAAAAAGAAACAAACCAGAAAATACAATTGTATTAGGAAATCAGGCAGTAGAAAAGTGTGAACGAGTTAGGGATTTAGGAGTTATAATTGATTCAAAACTAACATTCACTGATCATTATAATACAATTATCAACAAAGCAAATAATATGCTTGGCTTTATCAAACGATTCAGTTAAAACTTTCATGACCCGTATACAACAAAATCACTGTACATTTCATATGTAAGATCAATACTTGAATATTGCAGCATAGTTTGGTTACCTTTTTCATTCACGCATGAAGAACGATTAGAATCA